GTCTGTCGCAGGGCTAACACGCAGAGACAGACAACTCACATCCCCACCTATGGGAATAAATAAATAAATAATAAATGAGGGCAGATGAACAATTATTGATAGCAGCAACTATAAAAGATATATCTTGGCCCAATGAGACTATTAACTCTTGCAGCTCCGGGTGAAATGCTAAACTTTTTGAAGACTCACACAGTTGTGTAGATATCCCAGTCTCAATAAACATATTCACCAACGCTTCCTCTCGCTTGTGATGTTCCTGCGAACGGACCAACCAGCAGCCATCGCTGTTGGAAGCACTGCATTAATGGTTTTGTGGAGTTGTCTCGGGATGCTTCACGCTGCCCGGGGTTAGCTTCTGTTTCTGGGGATGAGGGTTGAGTGTGCTCCCTTACCTTCTCAAGCTAAGCTAGGTTAGCCTTCTTGTGCGAGCTTTTCAAGTGCACTTTAAGGTTTGCGGGACTTTTTTCCCCCTTTAGAAATGTCCCGCATCATTTGTCTCTTTCCACTACAAGACACTTGCTTTATCCAAAACACAATCATAATCGTGATTCTGCGTGGGACGGAGCAGCGACACAGACGACTCGACTAACGTACTGCCCCCTGCTGGCACAATGAGACACAGCAAGAAAAAACCTGGAAACTACACTTCATTTTCACCCGAGACTATTGAAAAATAAACACATTTTTGCTTTAAATTCAGTTAATTTTAGTTAGTTTTCCTTTTATTTTTGCAAAGTCTTATTTTTATTTTTATTTCCGTTAACAAAAATGTTTTTTCACTTCTAGTTTTCGTTAGTTTTTGTTAACAATAATAACCTTGAATGTCACTGCCAATAAAAGGTTGTTTTAGTTCCTTTTATTTATTCCTAACAGTTTGCTTTTGGGTTCTCAATCAACATTAAATATAATGAATAGTGAATTTATTCTGGTAGCTAAACTGACCTAAAAAACTCTTTGTTTCATTTTTGTGCTCCTGTAATTGTAGTTTTTGTCCTTTCAGCAACAGAAGACGGCCCTGATGAAGAACAATGTTCCACTGCGTGCAAAAAGTAAGAACAATGGGACAAATCTAAGAACTGCATATTCTGTCTTCTTTCCTTCCTCCCTCCTATCTATCTCTTTATCAGTATGTTCCTCCGTCATCATTAAAATCCTCTTTTGCTTGCTAACATGTTGGAATATTTTTCCCTTTCTTCTGCCAATTCTCTTTATAATACAACTATTTTTCCCTCTCAGCTCAAGGAATGCGAGAACGTCCAACTTCAGCTATTTACCCCTCTGAAAGCTTCCGACAGTCTCTGCTCAGATCGCGCCGTGGCCGCTCTCACCTGTCCCTGTCCAAGAGTGTCTCCACCAACAACATCGTAGGGTGGGTCATAAACACAGAGCGAATATTAGTGTTGCTCTGTGGTTTGGTTAAAGTTACCTGAGGTCATCAGTGCACGCTGGTTTGCTGGATTAAGGACAGAAACCAGTCACATCCACTAGTTTGGATTTGGATTGTCGAATGTTCAGTGAACACCAAGAATGCATAAAAAGCAGGACAGGAAATGATCTTTTAAAAACACAGCATGTGTCCTCACTGTCACACGGTGGGACAGGAAAGGTCATGAAGCTAATTTAAGATGATTTTGAGCTGCAACCATGAGTATTCACGCTTGCTTTCCCCCAACATGTTAATGTTTTTGATGAGTGAGGCACAGAACAGACTGTGGCTGACAGACAGATGATGATGAAGATTATCCATCTTCATGCTACAGTCACTGACGATGATAAAGATGTATACAGGTTTTGTAAATGCTCACAGGGACGGTGTGATAATATCTCAGACTGCTCCACCTGATTTGAATTCAGCTCAGTTCAGTTTATTTATACGATACAAAATCACAACAGCAGCCGCCTCAAGGCACTTTATGTTGTAAGACCCCACAACACTGAGAAACCCCCAACAAGCACTTAGCGACAGCAGGAAGGAAAAACTGTGAAGGTCTGAGACCCAGACTAAGACATGCAAACTGGACACAGAGACCGGTGGGGGTTACAGGAGGCACACATGGCCCCGTGAAGTCGTGCTATTACAAACCCTCCACTCCATGTTTGTCCGAAACCAAAGAGCTCATCCACTGTGTCTGGGATTGACACTGATTTGTTGAGTTTGTGCTGGCAATTTAGACGGCTCCACGTTAATATATATACACGAGGAAACTTTCAGTTAACCCTCACAAACTTAGTTGGAAACTGTCAGTTTCAGTATGTCTGTCAATCAAAACACCAACATTCCCAACTCCAAAATGCATGAGTTGGTGCACAGCCAGTGAAATCTCTATGCATTAAACACCACTGTTCAAGGTGCCTCTTATTATTTTAACATTTAGCTCTGTTTGGTTCTCCAGTTTGTTTGCCGCTACATTTATTTCATGCACAACAGTTAGGCACCAATCATACCTGCATGCATGTGTGTGCTGCAGGTCGCTGAATGATGATGCTCCCCTGGGACTACGCAGAATCCTCTCCCAGTCGACAGACTCCCTGAGCTTCAGAAACAGAACGATGTCGATGGAGTCGCTCAATGATGACGGTATCGCAAACATCCAAGACAGCTCCATGTGTTCACAGTCAGTTAATTATACATGTATGTTATATACTCACAAGTCTGCAGGCCAAAGACTGGTCATTCTTCCAGCAACATCATAATGCACTGGACTGTAGCAGAAAACAAACCAGAACACTTCATGAAGTCCATTTCCACCCAGAGAACTAAAGCTGCTGATGAGATATGTGCATAAATGAGCAGTTGAACAGGTGTACCTGGAGAAAAAAAGAAATTCCTCGTGACTATTTTCCACATAGAAAGTATGGGCTGAATGGGAGACTGCAAAGTTCCAATAATCGGTCTGATAGTTTATGGATTAATAAACTGTCCACGCCTGCACACCTTCTTATTGTAATATTGTGACAAATGAATGCATGTTACCAGAATTTAAGCAAGCTTATCAACATGAATGCATGTTTGGTGCTTAACTTTAATAGATAAATGCTTAAGTATTAGTAGTTGGGGGTGGCTGCAGCTCAGGAGGTGGAGCAGGTGTCCACTAAGTGGAAGGTCGGTTTGATGGGCCAAATATCCTTGGCCAGCATACTGACCCCAAGTTGCATCAATCAGATTATGAATGTGTGTGAATGCTAGACAGGAAGCACTGTCATATAAAAAAATAAGTGCTTGTAGAAATGGCTGAATGACCCTGGTTGTATAAAGCGCTTTGAGTGCTCGGGTAGAGTGGAAAAGTGACACATGAGACCAGTCCATTAACCGTTTAGTGCATGCTGTGATTGGTAATAAGATCCTCATAAACATTCTTCCTGAATGTAGTGGAAAACAACTGTACAGCAGTAGAAGTGAAACGTGACACATTTCATGAAGAAGTTGTTAAATCTTCAAACCTTCAGAGTCCAGGAGAAAGCTCAAGTCGTCTGTTCAAACGTTTGTCTTCAGTCTACAATATTCTGTCATATAATAATAGTAAAATAAACAATAATCTGTGAGTTTTCATACTGATCTTCTTTTCCTCTTTAGGAGAACTGTACTACGCTTCAGTCCTGGAGGAGATCGAGCTCGAGGGCCAGGACTTTAAGGCTGACTCGTGGAGCATGGCTGTGGACAGCAGTTACTTACAGACACATCGCAAAAATGTTATCAAGAGGCAGGATGTCATCTACGGTGACCAAAACATGATCTGTT